GGAGCTAAGGCCTTGGTGGGGCGCCCCCTCCCGCCTCCCCAGGCCCGGGCCGAAGAGTCCTGACAGGCCACGGCCATGGAGGCCATCTGGCTGTACCAGTTCCGGCTCATTGTCATCGGCGATTCCACGGTGGGCAAGTCCTGCCTGATCCGCCGCTTCACGGAGGGCCGCTTTGCTCAGGTTTCAGACCCCACCGTGGGGGTAGATTTTTTCTCCCGCTTGGTGGAGATCGAGCCAGGAAAACGCATCAAGCTCCAGATCTGGGATACAGCGGGTCAAGAGAGGTTCAGGTGGGAGTGCAGCATGGGCCAGCAGGAGCAGTGGGAGGGTCTTTGGGGCTTATCTGGCCCCTGGGGAAAAAGGACTTAATTGGTTCTTTTCTTGATGCCTAGATGACAAGCAAGGGTCTGGGACTTCTGCTCAAGCTTACTTTGAGCTAACTAGGAGTTCAGTGCAGGAAAAGAATCACCCAGGAAAGGGAAGGCCATTCATTAACACATTGTTTACACCACAACTCCATCAACCTGCTTTTTGGTAGCTAATAAATCATCTGGAATAGACTACTGTATATTTCATCAGAGCCTATTTTCCACATTAAAAAAAAAAAATCCAAGTCAACTTAACTAGAAGCTATAGGTAGGTAAGTGGATAAACTAGATTGATGTATATTGACTTCTTTCTATATCTCTATTTATATTGAGAGAGAGACAGAGACAGAGACAGAGACAGAGGAGAGAATATGTCCTAATAGAGAACTAGAGATTGATTAATTGATTCTCTCTTGGAATCAACATACATTTAGTCGCCAGAGAATGGTGTTGTTTCTGAGAAAATAGTGTGAGGGGTACTCAATAAGAGAATGCCATATAATTTAAATAGACAGTCCCTGACCTCTTGGAACTCCAGGAACTAGCATGGTAGGAAGAAACATACAGAGCCAACACACAAAACAGTTTTTTGTTGTTTGTATTTATATGCCACTCCCTACTGTACCACTAGGCACTTATTAGGTAATCAGTCAGTATGTTTATTTTTCTCTCACAATTCTTTGTTCTTCCTTTTAGTATGTATTTGTGATTTTATGTGTGGATACAGAGGAGAGAAGTTTAACTGGAGAAGATGAAGCCCAAGCAAAGATAGGAAATTCCCAGAGATAGGGAAAAGCATGAATAAAAGCAAAGTGACAGAAAACCAACTACATAAAAACTTTGCAGAGAACAGTTTGAACTAAAGTAAGGTAGAGCAACAGAAACCAGAGCAAAAGAACTCTATACCCCATATTTATGATCATTTACTCATTCTCCACTGAACATTAGTTGAACATAGAAGATACTGATTAGGTCATTGAAGAATGATACAGGTAATACTTACAAACTTAAGTTGCCTCTAACTTCCCACTTGTACAAAGCTTTGGCAAATACTTCATACAAATTCTCATAAATAAAGTATCTTGTATATGTTTGCGGGGGTCTTTGTTTGAACAGCTTGTTCATATTTACTACTCATTATTTATTATGCAGTATTGATTTGCAGGACTTCTTTGCATATTAAAAATAATAACCCCAACACCAACAGTGGTGACACACACTTATAATTTCAGACCTCTGAATGCTGAAGAAAGAGGATAATGAGTAGTTGGAGGCCAGCTTGGACTTCTGTCTAATAAAAAAATTCTTAACCCTTTTTATGTCATGTATGTTGTAAGATATTCCCCCAGTTTGTCATTTATCTTTTCATGTTAAGATTTCTTTTATTTGTGGGAGGTGTCTAGTTCTATGTAGCTTTGTGCTATGCTTAAAACATTGACACTTTCTGTGCTAAATACAAACCACTAAATATATTCTAGAGTTTTGATAAGTTGCTCAATGATTTCTCAAACATTTTCACAAATCAGAACACTTTCTGATATAACTATCATTCTCCATGAATCTTCAAACATAAAGGAAGAGGAATATTTTCACTCCTCAGGACTAATTTCCATGAACACTTGAACTCATTGGTAATGCCTATTCATACCACCCTTTAGCTTGGGCTGCAACTTCCTAGACATTTCCCCATTAACATTGGGCCATTTCTCCTTAAAATGTTCAGCTACAGAGCTCTTCATTATTTATCATACCCATCTGAGAAGACAGAAATCCTAAAGTAGACATAGAGTTCAAAAATTGCAGTAGTCTAAAGCAAGTAATTATAGAGACAAATTTTTACATCCTTTCATAAGCTCCTATATTCTTAAGCAAAGTACCATGATATGTATTTATAATAGGGTTCATCAACTCAAATATGTGATGTTTCTACTGTTTGAGAAGTACAATAAATATACAAGTAGGGCTTTGGAAATAACCTAATTACATGATTCAAATTAAATAAAACAACTTTATGGGAACACTTTGACTATTTTGGCAGAGTCTCCCAGCAAGTAGAGCTGATAGGCATTTTTCTCCAGAACATTTTTTAAAATTTATTATTTTATGTGTGTTGGTCTTTTGGCTACATATGTGTCTGTGAATCATGTGAATGCCTGGTGACCATGGAGGCCAGAAGAGCATGTCAGATCCCCTGGAACTGGAGTTAAAAACAATTGTGTGCTTCCATGTGAGTGCTGGAAAGCAAGTTCCAGTCCTCCAGAAGAGCAGTCAGTGCTCTTAACTAATGAGCCATCTCTTTAGCCCTGGCCCAGAACATTTTACCATCCCCATTTTCCCATTCCCATGTGACTTAAGAAATACAAAACGAAATTTTGTTTACTCATCACAGAAATGATTGATGACTCCTGCTAGGAAAAAATAGCAATAATGGAAACAAAGAAATGGGGTAATAGTAAATAGAAAAATGAAATATTTACAAGATATTTTTCTTGGGTCATCAATTATATTTATAATCTTTTGATTATAATAGCATAATCTTATTCTTGAAAATTATTTTAAATTACTAGCACTTGCAGTGAATTTTCCATGTCAAAAAATTAAATGCCCATTATTTCATTTTGCTTTATAGTTACTCTGTAACTCAGATGCCTTATTTTGCAGAAGAGGAATTGTGTTTTAGTTATTCAGACTTGGAAGTGGGAGAGTTAGCTATGGTAAAAAATAGAACTCAGTCATCTCCTAGGGGTTCTTTCCATGGCTGGATCAAAGGGAAACACTTGAAAGTTCATGAGCATTCATTTCTAGGAAGGGCCATCTTAACAGTTTACCCAATTGAAAATTTATCATTATTGTTATAGAATGACATTTATATTTACTGAAGGACTGTCAGAAATCAGGAACACTAGCATACACTAAGTTCGTTTGAGTGAAGGAGTTTGGGCACGAACTTTATTCTTTACTTCTTTCTTGTGTTTTAGATCTATCACTCGCGCCTACTACAGGAATTCAGTAGGTGGTCTTCTCTTATTTGACATTACCAACCGCAGGTCCTTCCAGAATGTCCATGAGTGGTTAGAAGAGACCAAAGTACACGTTCAGCCCTACCAAATTGTATTTGTTCTGGTGGGTCACAAGTGTGACCTGGATACACAGAGGCAAGTGACTCGCCACGAGGCCGAGAAACTGGCTGCTGCATACGGCATGAAGTACATTGAGACGTCAGCCCGAGATGCCATTAATGTGGAGAAAGCCTTCACAGACCTGACAAGAGACATATATGAGCTGGTTAAAAGGGGGGAGATTTCAATCCAAGAGGGTTGGGAAGGGGTGAAGAGTGGATTTGTACCAAATGTGGTTCACTCTTCAGAAGAGGTTATCAAATCAGAGAGGAGATGTTTGTGCTAGTCAACCCTTCCATTTTCAAAACATACCCTCCCACTTGAACTTAAAAGTTATCAAAATAAATAGAATCCTTATGTGACTGAAGAGATCTCAACCTTTGGATAACAAATGAGTCTTCTTCCTAGGGGTAGAGCTCTAACAGGCTCATATGTGGGTAGATAGGGAGCCTGGGTGCTTTGATTGAGGGACTAAATTGCTGACATTGGCTAGATCAGACAATGTTTTGTGGTCCAGGCTTGGCAATGATTGTTCTGTGTGTCCTTTGTGAAGGACCACATATTAAGGCTCTAGGGTTTGGGAAGTTAGGTTCAGGAAAACATACCTACAGAGAGAAAAACTGTTCCTTGGTATTTCAACTTTTCAGAGGTGGTGACCACAAAGAAACATAGAAGGAAAACAAGTAACAAATTGGGGATAATTAGGATAACTGAAAAAAAGAGTATGATGTCAAGTTATTCAATGATAATACCATGTGTGCTGGGTTTGATACAAACACACTAATTCACTTCTAACAGTAACTGTAAAATGAATGTTCCATATGAATCAGCTATTTGATAATGCCTTTCAAGGTTAAGCATTCTAATAAAATTGATGTGATTCATATATGAAAAGGGAAGTCATTCACACCTTGTTATTAATCACATTTGAGAAAGTGTACACGCTCATGATAGAGTTAACAGTTGTGTGAAAGAAACTGTCCCATGTAAAATCAGAAGAAGGAAACATTGTAGCTCAAAGGCCACATTCTTTGACCTCTAACCATACCAGAGATTTCATAGCATCAGGGAGCCACAATCTGGAGTAAGCATACTGCCTGCTTCTTTAGGTGCCTGACAGTGACAATACAGAGATTGTCTACAAAAAAACAAAAAAAAAACAAAAAAAAAAAACAAAAACAAAAAAAAAAACCTGAGTCAAGCCCTTGATGGTTGGTTCTGTGCTGAATATTTGCTCAACATGTGGCCCTGGCCCCTGGAACCCCTAAAATCCTGCATATTAATTCTGTAATAGGCCTCTGAAATTTTTTACCCCAGTTTTCAGAATAAGAAAGCAAGAAAAAGCCCAACAGATTCCTAGATTTTTTCACTGGATCATAATGCTGTCACATGAATAAATAATTAATTTGTTAACTTTGGAAGTCAGGTGATTATAAATTAATGTTCTCTACATGATAGGATATGTTTCCTTGTTGTTTTACAGCTCAGCTATAATCCTGCAGGAACCTAGGAATGAATCAAAGGTAAAGCCTATTCAGGTATCACTGAAAAGAAGGCATAAAATAAGGGATTAACTGCACGACTAAAAACACATTAAAACTGTGTGGGTTTCTAAGTGTTCTCACAAACTCTATGAACATTTTATTGAAAGGAACAAAATACAACAATGGGGAGTGGGATGGGGATAAAGTACTCACCCCACAATGACCTTGGCCACCTGTCTGCTATGTACCTATTCTGGGCTCCTGTCTACCCGAGAGAGTCAGCTCTTAATTCTCAGGTGAACAGACAGCTAACCACATCAGTAAATTAGAATGGCTGACATGAAAATTTCATTATCTTCTTGAAAAGAAGTGATGCTTTAAATTAATTTTTGGATTGTAGCCAGTTCAGCTAGGCAAAAGCCATACTTTTCACAGTAAGAAAACTTCTGATTAGAGTCAAGTTTCTCATATGCATTGTGGTAGAAAGGTTGACAAATTGTTTTTGCAATATCCTGTTCAAGTTCAGTATGAATATGCATGAGTTGGAAAATCTGGGGAATTTGTTTCAGCTAAAATAAAACCAAATAATAAAGATTATGGAAGACCATTCTGCCACCTTTGCTCCAACTTGGATAAGCAAATCATCTTGGACCAGTTCACATCATCAACTGCAGGTGAAGTGATCATTTATTCTGTATTCATTTCACATAGATTAAATTGTCAGATTCTTGGTTGTAGAAGGCAAACAACTTTTTTTGTGGGAACTCAAAATTTCAACAACTGTACTCATGTCTAGATGGTTACTAAGCCAAGATTATACCACGGATAAATGAGAGTTGTCTAGATTCTTGTCAACTCAGTGGGGGGGGCATAGAAATAAAACATGTCTACAGTTTTCTTGACTAAAATACATTATATACTTTCCCATTTCTGGCTTTTTAACATGGGGTTTAAAGTACCCAACACAGATGCAGCAGAGGTGGCTGAACTTAACTGCTTAAATAAGTTCTAGAAAAACTTTTAAAAATCATTTTAGTAGAATTCAGTGCTGTTGTCACTGCAATAAGTGGGTTTTAGAAAATACGTGTGAAAAATCAGGTGTTCATAGAATACTGAGGACAAAGCTTTAGAAGCTATTTTACTACATAGATAAAGAAAAGATTAACTTGTAACAATGATCACAACTGCATGTTGGATTAGATTGTCTTATATTCCAGAACAAAATGTACTGTATACTTTGCCTCACTTTGTTGTGCGCTGTAATGAAATGTGAAATTCTTTATTTAGCTGTATGTGAATGAAAATGCTTGTATTTAGTAAAATGGTTGATCATGTGACTGTGAGATTCCACATGTGTGTTGTAGCTATTTCTAGAATGTGTCCTTTCATTGTAGCAAACAAAGATACCAGTAAAATACCAATCAGATGCTGTAGTGTATACTAATATGATATGACATACTTTGCATAAACAGACTCATCAGTATCTGAAAGCCAAAGAGAGGACACAATTTCTTAAAGGTATATGATTCTCATGTTGAAAACCACAGAAATCTCACTACTTCATTTTCAGCCCAAGCCAATATATAAAAAGTTGAATCTGTGAAGCATAAAACTTCAGCATTATAATTTTTAATCAAGAGCTATAATTTTTCACCAGGAAAGTAGTTAATTACAACTATTGTCTTCACTGAAAAGTCTTTTCCAAGCTAAGTTGCCATTTTTAAAGATGGCTGTGGCACACTATATCATATGAGGAGCATTGCAAGCATGGGGACTAGATTGGAACACAGTCATCTAGCACATTTTCCAAGTTGGATAGTGCACATCTAAGAAAAATATAAGAGAAATGTTTGATTTTAAATCTAGGCATACACAGGCTAATCTCAACACAGGTTTATCGCTTTTACATTCAAGTGAAGCAGCATTTCATAGCGTTTTCCACTCTTAAAATTTTCTCTAGGCTTCATCATCTTTTCTTCATTTATATCCCTTGGTGACCTCAGCCATTCTGTGGTTTTAAAAAACCATCTCTAAGCCAGTAAGCCCTAGACTGATATGTCCAGTTCATTTATTACCCACGAACTCCAGACTTTTATAACCAACCACTTACCTGTCATCTCCATTTTATTCTTCATTAGCATCACAAGTTTAACATGTCCCAAATGAGGCTCCTGATCTTCTACTTCAAGCCATGACATAACCTTCTCCTGGGTAAATGGTAACTTTCCCTATGTATTCCTAACAAAAGCTTAGTCATTCTTCTTTCCTTTTCTTTCTTACTCTACCTTTGATCTATCTGAAAATTATGTTTTCATCAGAGTATAACAATAATCTGACAACTTTTCAACACCTTCAATGTTAACACACTGGTGTTGTTTAATGTTACTTATCGCCTGAGTAATTGTGATAAAACTCTTGCTACCCCTTCCCCTACTACATTCTATTATCCACATAGCAGCCCAAGAAAGACTGATGAAGAAGCATGAGTTGAAAACAGTCACCTACTCATAATTTTCCAGTGGTTATCAATTTCACTCAACTTAAAGCACAAAGTCCTTCCAATAGTCTGCAGAAGAATCATTAAAAATGAATTCTATCCCATTGTCTCTGCAACCTCACTTCTTGCAGCTAGCCTCTTGTTCATCTCACTAGTTATAGTTTCCTTTCTTGTTCTTTATTTTAAATTATTTTTCATTCTTAATTATGTATATACATGTGAGTCTATGTGTAGGTATGTGTTCTGTTCCTCAGAAGTCAGAAGAGATGGACAGATTGCCTGGAGCTGGAGTTACAGGAATTATGATCCACATGATATGGGGACTGAATTCAGTTCCTCTACAAGAGCAGTATGTGCTCTTAATTGCTGAGTCATCTCTGCAGCCCCTCCTATTTTGTTCTTCAAACATATCAAGAGCATTCCCACCTCAGGGCTTTTGTACTTGCTCTGCACTTGTGATTCCTTTCTAAGATAGCTGCATGGACTGCTTTTCACACCCATCAAGTTATAGGGTCAGCAGCTTCCAAAATCTTTGAATAGCTTACTGATACTCTGTAATACATCCATCCAGATATCATTGCTGACAGCCCAGAGTCCTGCTCTTTAGCCTTGCCTGTGGAACAACAAAGATTCTGGGAAACCAAAAAGGAAGAATAACCTAGAACAGTGATTCTCAACCTGCGGTCATGACCCCTTTGGGGATCAAACAACCCTTTCACAGGGGTTGCCTGAGACCAGAAAACACAGATATTTACATTACCATTCATAACAATAGCAAAATTACAGTTATGAAGTAGCAACAAAAATAGTTTTATGGTTGGGGGCTCACCACAGCATGAGGAACTTATTAAAAGGTCATAGCATTAGGAGGGTTGAAAACCACTGACCTAGAAGGAAATCACAAAAACCCTGGAGAGTATTTCATAATACATCAGTGGATTTAGAAAAAAATGAAACAAATTGTACTCATAGGATTTGTTGGTAGAAGGGCTTCTGTATTCATTAAGCCTCTCAGGAAATTGTGTGGAAGGACAATACTCTTCCTTTGCTCTTCAAAATCTCTCCTTCCTAGACAATCTAATCTACCCCCATGTGTTCCAGTACTCTCTGCTTTGCAAAGTAATTCAGCCCATTTTTTGAGCATCAAGCAAATGCAGTCAATTTGCTTAAGACACACAGATATAAATTTCTCAAACTCAAATCATTTTCCTCCATCTTCATTGCTATTACCATTAGCCAAGCCATTACTAACTCTTTCTTGAACTACTTCAATATCTTATGCTTCACCATATTTCTGCTCATTCACACATCCATGACACATTCCAAAAATGTGTAGAGTTATCACACCATGTCTGATCAAGTCATTCTCCACCCAAATCACAATCTCCCCATGATTTCTTATCACATTTTAACAAAATTGAAATAAATCTTAGATTTCTTTACATGACTACAAGGCTCTCCATCATCTGGTATGTCCAGCTGTGAGTTCTATAAAAATAGTAATCTTACTTTCTTCAACAGAATTTCCCAAACCTATAGAGCAGATATATTCTTGAGTAATCAGTAAAAATTTAAATGATTTTCTTATCCTGCTTTAATCCAATAAACTTAAGTCTTCCAGAAAACATACACATGATTCTGCTCTATAGTCTCTGGAATTCTCTGATTATAAAATTTGGTTGTCACTGTCTCCTACAATGCCTGTTTTAAAATTCTTTCAAGACATTAGTCAATCAACCATGTGCACCTCTCGTTTATCGATATAGGCTTTTGTTTCTCTTCCTCCTTTTTTTGGCTCATGTAGTCAACTGCATGTAATTATCAATTCCTAATAAAAAATTGTTTATTTCATTTGAAATTTTTTAAATTTGCTCTTCCAAACATTGTTTAACAAATGTTGTTTAACAAAAGAATAAGACTATGGTTTTTTAGTAAGACAAACACAGGTTCAAATTCTGACTCTACCAGAAATTAAGTGTAATTCAGTATCTCTGAGTCCCACTTTTTCATATATAAATTGAATGATGATATTTAACTCATGAGGTTGTTGTAAGGATGAAATGAGATAATCCATAAAGAAGACTTGGTCATAATAGTCTTAGATGGTGGGTATATTTGCACAGAAGTGAATCTCTTCCACAAGTGGCATCATGTAACACACACTGTTCTGTTATTTTTTCTTATACAGTATATTTCTTATAACTACATGACAGTAGAGACTATGTCCAGCTTTGATAATTACTATATAACTACAATCAATCAGTGCATGTACATATTTATTTAATGTGATCAAAGAAGAGGTAGTTAAAACATGGCAGAGCAGAGACTCAAGGAAACTGGATCCTTAACAATATAATTGAATCATAGATTTCTCTAGAATGGAGTCACCCTGTATTAAGATTCTTTGAAACACTAAATAATAAATCTCTTTGTTTTATGCCTTTCTCCCACTCTTATATTTCAAAGTTACCTAACTGGTGCAATTCCACTGCATGAACATGTGATATTTTATTTAATCAAGTCTCATTAAATATATGCATTTGTATCTTTGTGTATTTGACTTGCCAAATTAAAATTCCTAGAAGTGAAATTTATGAATCAAACATTATGATTACTTAATTTTTATAATTCATTAAATTATTCTCTAGAAATGTTTTACTGAACATTCATAAATAGTGTATGGTAAGGTCTATATTAGCTACTACTGTAATTTTTAACTTTGCATACTCAAGAGGTTAATAGTATATCAACATTTTAGTTTTTAGTAAGAAATGGGTGACATAGAGTCTCTCTCTGTAGCCCAAGCTACCCTGAAATTCACTATAATACAATCTGACCTTAAACTCATGGAAACTCTCCTGCCTCACACCAATATTTTTACATGTGCATATATTTGATTATTGAATTTCTGTGCTTGAAGTTAAAAGTAAACCCAACTAATAAAGAGTGCTGATCTTTTCCTTATCAGTAAAACTGCCTTATACACAGAAATTTCTTCTCTGTTCTTCATATATGGCAAAAAATCCTAATAAAAAATTCTGGTGTTTGGTAATACAGAAGTCTCTAATATTTAGTAATAAAATCTATTGTTTGCAAGAAACTGGAAACAGCTGGGAGGTGGTGGCGCACACCTTTAATACCAGCATTCAGGAGGCAGAGGCAGATGGATCTCTGTGAGTTGGAGGCCAGCCTGGTCTACAGAGGTAGTTCCAAGACAGTCAGAGACTATTACACAGAGAAACCCTGTCTCAAAAAAAAATGGAAACAATGTTTGTCTCAGAATTGATGAACTAAATAGTTGAAAGACAAACATACTGGGAGAAAAAATTTCTTTCCACTGGATAAGAGTTTCTACCCTTTAATTTCCAAGATTTTGTAAAGTTGTTTTAAGTGTATGTGTGTATACGTGTGTGTGCGCGCTTGTGAATACATACATATGTACATTTGTGCCAGAACCCATGGAAGCCAAGAGAAAGTGTTGGATTCCCTGGAGCTGAAGCTGCATGGTGTAATGAATCACTAATATGGGTTGGAGGAACTGAACTCCCGGCCTCTGAAATCAGGTGCTCTTAACCTGTGAGCCATCTCTCTAGTCCCCTTCCCCTATGTGCCTTGATTTTTGTATCATGTAATTTATGTAATATTTCTTACACAGTATGTTGTCTTGATATTTTGTAGCAATAATGTTAGGTGTGATAGGCCTTGTCTGCCTAAAACCTAGAAAACATCTCCATCCTTATAATGGATTTCAGATTTCATCAGGATTCATCATATCTAGCCATTGATCTATTTTCTAAACCTAGACTATACTATATTCTTTTAGTTTGGGTAACTCAATCAGATTTTTCAAATTAACTTTTGTTGCCTCAAATTTGTCTTTGCTACTTTTATGCGGGATTTTTGAACTTGGGCATAAATGTGTCAACTTTTCCAAGACAGGGTTGGGATTTTGATTGAAACTAATTTCACTCAGTAACAATGATAGATTACAGGCACACTCATCTTTGCAAACTTTACATAATGTCATCTAATGCTTGTGTCTGTTAGTAACTGTTTATTGCTTTCTCATTTTTAGCCATTTTCTATTTATTCCACAGCTTTTTAGTTCTAAAAATGTATTGTGACATTATACTGGTTCCAATTGTTCTAACTAATCAATTCTAGCATGTAGGAAATCTGTGGATTTGTTTATGTTCATAGATTATAACAAAAATTCTTATTAAACTCCATTATCAAACTAATTTTTCGATGAGTTTCTTCTACTTTTTAGGCAGACATCATAATCCATAAATGTTTTCCTTCTCTCATATCTACATTTCATTTTTTCTTATTTATACTGATTAAAATTGAACTAACATGGTAACAGCAGTAATGATGAACATCTTTATTATTTTTCCTATTTCTAGCATTTTAACCTTAAGTTATTTTATTATGCCCAAAATTTTTTACCATATTACTATTCTGCTAAGTATTTTGAGGAAGACTTTATGTTGAAGTTTTTAATTGTCTTTCTGGTATTCAATGAGAGACTCAAATGGCTTTCAACCATTAACTTGTCAATGTAATTATTTCAGTAAATTTGTTCATGCTAAAACACATTTCTTTGCCAGGCAGTAGTGGCACACACCTTTAATCCCAGTACTTGGGAGGCAGAGGCAGGTAGATCTGAGTTCAAGGGATCCTGGTTTATAGAGTGAGTTCCAGAACAGCCAAGGATACACAGATAAACCCTGTCTTGAAAAACCAAAAAACAAACAAAACATTTCTTCACATTCTTAGACTAAACACTTCTTAAGAAGTCAGGATGTATTTTTAAAATACTTCCTGATTTTTATTCACTAATGTTTAGTTTATTTACATTTGTATTCATGTGTGTTACTGGTTTATAACAATATTTCCAGCTAGGTAGGCCATGGTGATTAAGAGAAATCTGGTGGTAGAAGGCATGTATAAGTAAATAAATTTGAAATAGCATAGATTAAACATAGTGAATATCATTCTGTAGGACTACACTATTATAGATTGGAGCTGTCCATCTTGGGGGCAATTTTATAGAACACCTCCTCAACCTCTGTGACCAAAGCTCTATTTTATAGAATATCATCTCTCAATAAGATAATATTTTGTTATTCATATATATTCATTGCTCTTCCCTGAAGTAGAATTACCTCTCCTATGAGGCAGGCTTCACTGCGGGCTGACAGTTCCCCAGCTAGCTGGTTTTCTAGCAGCAACATGGATTCTGAAGTTAAAAAATGGCAAAGACACTCTTGACTTGGAGTGGCCATGTGGCTACTAGGATTAGGAATGACTACAAGAGGATTATGTATCCTGTCAAGGCATATAGTCTCATAAGTAAATTTTTGCAATATATATCATCCTTGAAAATCATCTACTTCAGGTAAACTTTCAAATGTGGTGTACAGTTAGTTATACTTTGTGTAATTAAAACAATGTGTATGAGTAGATAGAAATTTCTCTCATTTTCATGTTGTTCATTTGTATTTTTATTATTCAGCATTGTTAAATGTTAACTTATTTTTAATTAATAATCTTAAAGAACCAGCTCTTGGTCTTAACAGTTGCTTTTCCTGAATTATAATTTATTTTATGTTATTTACATAAACTCATTATTTGACTTTTCATGTGAATAAGTATTTCTATGGTTCTTCATATGCCAAGCACTTTTTTTTTTTTTTTTTTTTTTGGTTTTTCGAGACAGGGTTTCTCTGTGTAGCTTTGGAGCCTATCCTGACACTCGCTCTGG